CCCATGCCCTGGTTTAGTCACAGAAGATTCAACCTGGTGTTGCATGAACAAATTTAGAGATGAATGCCAGCCTTAATTGCAGTGTTTCCCTAGCCGAAGAAGCTTGTAACAACTTCCTTCTAAGTTAATTTCACCAGAATATTGTGAAAAAATCAGAGGACCAAGTGGCATTGATAACATTGGTTTCCAAAAAGTGCAATAAGTACTATGACAAGTTTACAAGTAGATATCTGCACATGCTATACACATGGAAGTAACAAGTATTTTTCATAAGGAAATGTCTCCATAATAATATATGGTATAGTTTCAGTATCACAGCCATATGGTAGAAGGTAAAAAAGGCTTGTAATGAATGACAGAAAAGAAGACACTTTTCATCTACAATATTGCCTCAGCAGGCTGATGATAAAGATTTGCAACACTTTGGCAACACTTTTACTTTGGCATTATGATATGAAAATCTAATGGTACTATCATAAAGAAAGGGAAAAACTACTCTCACTGATACATAAAAATAACTTGCACAGGCAAAGAATAACATCAGAAATTAAGAAGATAGGTTGCGACTAATACAGTGCGAAGAGGAAATCCATGAAAATTGAGTGGGGGTTCAGAGTTGGAGACCCCAATAGGGTGGGGCTCTAGGAGAAGATAACAGATTACAGCAATTGGGTTGGAAAGTTTCTGGTTCATATTACAATGTCTATGGATCTTCAGGAGCGGTGGGAGTAATAGGATGCAGTCAGTATAATAACTGCAAGGTTGATGGCTATGTGATACTAAAAAATTACCTGATATATAATACATGACATATAAAGAATGTCTACTTAATAAATATATATTTCAGTATGATATGATTGAAATTAAGACAGAAACAAACTAAAGTACAGTCCACTTCTAAAGGAGACATGTACTCGATGACATTACTACCTATGTGCACAAAGACAGGTTATGCAGGGCTACTGGATAGATATTTAAGTGTTTCAAACCACGGCAAGGTAAGGCTGCACTTCGTTGAAACAAGCACGTGGGGATGAATTTTGCTTTGTTAGGAGAAGTGAAGACCGAGGCGAAGGTTTGGCTGTGCCTCAAACCTCAACCACATAGGCCTTTATATATTCATGCAAGACAGAACTTGGCTTAGTTCCTAATTCGGAAATATAACTTCTACAAGTTCTATCCTACCAGAATCCGTATGGCAGCAGCGTCTAACCCACTGTGATTACCCTTTTAAAAATCAGATAATTCTTTATCTTTCACTTGCATGGAATCATTCATACAAACTGGTATCAAAGAAAGTGGTAATTTCTACAGCCTTAGATAAACAGGACAGCATAGAGTGCTTATAAGACGGTTCAAGAAAAAGTAATACAAATTTTGAGATCAATCTTATGCCTAGATTATCCCAGTATAGAATTCTGTGCTGATTTTCTCAATGACATGAAATACATTGAATGTACTTAACAAAATGTCCAAATCCCGCCCACCTTGTTTAAATCTCAGGAATAACAGACACAGCCGCTCCGTAAATCATAAATTAATGGCAACTGTTCCGGTCTATTCATAAAGAACGACAGTCTATTTTTCAGTATCTTTGCTCAATCCCATTCTGAACGCCAACTAATAAGGCTATGACATCTTAAAACACCTTTTAAACCTCTGAAGATGTTTCCTACCAATGAAACTATAAACTGTAACTTAAAGAGAAGAGAGAAGAGAAGAAGAGAAGAGACATATTAAGGTCGACAATGCTCCAAGATCCACGAACACCAACTAATTAATTTTTTCTTCAAGGTTTAAAAACTTCCCCAAGGATAAATCTGAATACATAATTCTCCAAAATACATAATTCTCCATACAAAATAAATAAACAAAAATAAACAAAATAAACAAAATACATAATTCCCCATACTCCTTTCTACTTCATTTTACGAAATATATAGATAGACAGATAAAACTAAGGAAAATGAAGTTATGTAAAATTGGTTAACTGCCAATTATTATCTGCTTCTTGTTTTGTATTTTGTTTTTGTTTTTAGTTTTGTATTTTGTTTTTGTTTTTTGTTTTGTATTTTGTTTTGTATTTTGTTGTTTTGTATTTTGTTTTGTAATTTGCACTTTTTTATCCTTTGGCGATTCCCACCGACTTTTTACGTTTCATGAGGATTTCTATGTGATTTCTATGACATAAATTCCCAATAAATGACGTTGTAACAACGACCAATAACAATAAAAAAGAGATAAGTTTATGTCCTACAGAACTACAGAGGATTTTATCTTCATCTCACGTGACAACTCCCCTTTTCTTTGGCCTTAATTCCCCTATTTCGCCCTTCTCGCACTCACCTGTCCGTCGTAACTGGGCTGAGGGACATATCCGACAACACGACCCGTTGCAGCCATTCTCCCATGAGCTAAAATCTTTAAGAAAAAAGGAGGAAATTTCTTTTAAAAACAAAACAACTTCTTCTTCTTCTTTTTCCTAGAGAGTCTTAATCAC